TCCAAAGTATAAAACATGCATCTGTATGTGTGTGTAGATTACTGTTCCAATCCTGTTGCTCCTCCCGGATCGTCCTCAATTCATATTGTGGGCTTTGGTGCCAAAGTAGAGGCTCATTTCCTTATGATCCATACTACTGTCATCCCTGAAGCAGGTGCAGTTTATCTTTCATCTGAAAAACAAACATTAGAACACAAGAAACGCCCACTTTCCTCTCTTCGCATGGTGCAGCCTGTCAATCAATCCAATTGGGCAAAACATAACTGCATTGACAGACGGTGTGTGGCATCAGGGCAGAGGCTGTAGCCAAATACAGACTTAACAATATGTATGTTTCTAATTTTATACTCCCCTAAATGTGAATTACAAACCAAAGTTGTCCTCCGCCCAATGACCGCTCACTGCGGTTGGACCGAATCACTGTCCGGACAAACAGCAGAGGGAGGGGCTCCCAGTACCTTCAGCAAGGTATTTCATCTCAGAGTACTTTCCGCAGAGTACTTTTCTCAGAGTACTCATCCCAGAGTACTCTCACTTTTACACCTGTTCAATAAAGCTTGTTATCTTTGAATCTATAGTACTTACACCGTATGCTGTTGACAAAAAATAATTATTCCATGATCACATTAAAACATTACAGAAAACTTTTGTTATTCCATGATTCCGTTCAGCACTCCTCGTTCACTCCCACAACACACTCACAACACCCCACGTTAGTATTGGTCCAGTTTGTTAAGGTCAACGTAGTGTATTGGACATGACGCACAAACATATAACATACACAAACATATAACATACACAAACATATAACATACACAAACATATAACATACACAAGAGGCCTGTAATTTTAACTTTGTTATATTTTTCCATGTCCAATTACAATTGTCTCATGAGCTATTTTATAGTTGCAACTTTCAGAGCCTGCAAAATATGCAGAGCTTTTAATAGATTTTTCCTACAAGGATCCATTTCAAACTTTTAGTGTTTAAACCACGTGGTCTTTACTCGGGCTTGTCACAAACTGTGTCCCCTATATTTTTAATGAGCTCTTGTTACTAAAAAAAAAACTCATGCACGTGCAATAAATGTTTTTCCCTTTTTTTTTTTTTTAAAGCCAGTTCGGATTCCTTAAAAATGTAAATTGGTTTCAAACTTTAATACTTCACCTTTGTTTCACGTTCATGTGGAGAAAAGACCATTGTTTTATGTGTGTGTACTTGCGCCAATCATGTCTCAGATAAACGGCCAACAGTTATCAAAGACATAATTGTCCTAATTGTTTCTAATTTAGCTATTTGGAAGAGAAACATGTCATAAAAGATTTCAAAAAATGTCCCTACATCTTTCTTTGTTTTCAACCAATGAACAGTGTTGCGTCAATGTGTTATCAGAAATGATCCAATATCACCTTTAGCCAAAATTCAGAAATGCTTTAAATCATTTTTCAAACTTTAATTGTCTGAACAAACCATTTTGTACTAAATGCAACATCCATTAAAAGCTGCAGTTCTCTTTCTAGCACCAGTTTCAACTGTGCATGTGATTGTTCTTAAATGAGAAACGAGCCACGGTTCAGAGGTCGAAAACACTGCTTTAAATATCCGTATTACCAAGATCATGCAGTCAAAATCAATAATTCTAAACTTCTCCGCGTCTATAACTTTAAATAATACTAGTTTCAATAATAGAGCTCCTCTACTTTAAATATACTGCTGTTCTAATCTCCTTGTGTCTCATGCTAAAGCAAGAGTCTAATTAATTTTAACGATTGTCCTGTATTCTTTCATGCAGCTAAATGTGGTGTTATGAACGAATGACCTAGCTAAATGTGTAAATATAACTTAATATGTCTCTGTGCGTTTGTTGTCTGTATATATTTACCTTCTGTCTGTCTCATTTAGCCTGGCCACGTCCTCTTATGGCGTCTTTCAATGTCTTTTGTCTCAAAGTGTCCGATGTCTTTGCCTCAATGCCTTTTTTCCTTCTTCTTTAAACAATCACTTTCTTTCTTCTTCTTTCAATAACTTTCTTCTCCTTGCAATGTCTTTTTCTTTTCAATCATTTTCTTCTTGTTAGGTTTTCCGGCGGTTGGCGGCCTATTTTTCGCATTACCGCCACCTTCTGTTCCGTAGATGGGACAACACTCAGTTTGTGAACAAGTCTGCGGTCTTTTCTTTGCCTCCTCACAGGCAGGAGGAGTCTTCTTCGAGAGTTCCTGTTAGCTGCTGCAGCCGATGCTGCCCCCTGCGACCCGCAGGGAGAGGGGGAGACGCTGATGATGATGATGATGCTCGGTTGTGGTTTGTGGCAGGGACGATTTTGGCGATCGGCCAATGAAACAGACAGAAGTTTTCTCAGAAAAAACAGACAAACAAGAAACACAAACAAGTGTGTTAATACAATACAAAACCAATGATTAATTACGAATCTAAGTAAACCTATGAAATAATTACTATTAACATTTTAAACATTAAATTCTGAAAACCAAATCTGCATTCAACTGCTATCCTAAGCCCTATTTTTCCAAAAGTATAATGCTCTCTAAGATCATTCTAACTTTTATATCACCAAAATGTAGGGAAAAAAACTTGTCTAGACGCCTTGGAGATAAAAAATAAAATAATGCCTCTTTATAATCTAACTCAAAGTTCTGCGATCCTATGACTCCATGTCAGTAACATTATCGTGTGTATAAATGTAATTTTCTACAAAAAATTCTTTCTTCACGAGAGAGAGAGAGAGAGAGAGAGCGAGAGAGAAAGGGGAGAGAGAGAGGACAGAACGAGGGAGGGGAGGGGCCTCCCGAACAAAGGAAGCATGGAGTCAAATACTTTTCTCGTTTTTCTCGTGACAAGGTTCTAAATCAGTGGTAAAAGTTTTTCTCACGTCAAACGACACTTTACATTTTATCCTTAAATACGTCAGTAATGGAAAACATTACTATTTGCTTACATGAGTAATAGTCCCAGCAGAATCTCTTTTTTTTTTTTTTTTTTTTTTTTTTGATTCTCTGTGACTATTAAACATTACATCATAATACAAGAGAAAAACTCCCAGACTGATCTTTTGTCATTTCTCCACATGAAACTCGTATCTACAGCCAAGTGGCTCCTTTTCTTCCTCATTAATCAGATCATTATTATCAGAATCCACATTTTAAATACTTGGCTTTTCTTCTGTTTAAATTAATTGTTCCCTTTTCCCCGCCCCCGGGGGATATGGAGTTTTTATTATCCTATAACTTCTGACCCTATATCTGTCCCTATTTCTCTAATCCTATTTATCTAAATACTTGTGCCTCTTTTGCACCTTAAAACTGTGTGCCTCTTTCGCACTTATAAATCCTGTGGACCTCTCATCCTGTATATTCTTTTTTAGAGCGAGACCAACATCCCTCAAGGTTCAAAAACGTCGAAAAACCTGACTATTGTTCTATCGCGTCCGATAGAATCGCCCATCACGGCAGTCTTGTCCACACTGCGATCTGTCGAGCCAAAATCTCTCTCTCTTCTATTTAAAACAATGTGCAGATTTCCAAAACTGTGATCCGCTTACCTTAGAAGCGACCTTTTTGAAGAGCAGAGAGATTTTTTCCCAACCCACAAATCCAGTCTCTATAACTGAGCTCATCTCTGTCCCGCTCCTGCCCCGATCACGTCGGGATTCACCAAAATGAAGTCAATAATTCCCTTTGACTGACGTGTCCAAAGTCGATGCAAGAGCGAGACAAGAGATCTTCTCGTTTAACATCTGCATTTAATTATCTTTACAATCAGGTACAGAATATTCAACAAAAAAAGTGCTCCTAAAACTAATATGTCCCTTTCTCTGTCCCTCGGTTGATCCTTCTGTGTCTCCCCAAGCCAGCGCATATATAAAGAACAGGAAGGAGGGGAGTGTCCTATCAGCCAGCTTCCGGTCTAGGGTCCAGCCTTTTCCTCGTCTGCCAGACTCCTGATGGTGTGAGGTTGAAAAGTGCAGAAGTCAGCAGGCCAAGACTAGGGGGTTGAAATACAAACAGCAGAATTCCATCTGTTGTCCAGTTGCTGGCACAAGAAGACACCTAAAATAAAATAAGAAGGACTGGCCTCCCACTTAGAGGTCAGCTAGGTCATAAAACACATGGTTTTAGAATGTCACGTATTTATAAATACAACACTTGATATCAAGATTTATGCAAATAAATAACTCACTAATCTATTTTACTCTACATGGGCAGAGATTTACTACCTATCAGTGTTCGTGTGATTTTTGTCAGTCGGAAATTAATGTACCCGATTATTCTGACACCACTTGAATGCAGCAACCTGAAGGCATTGCAGCACGTCACTTCTCCAGCGTATATTTTCAACGGTTCGCTGCTGTTGTGTCCGAGAGACATTTTACAACTTATTAGTTCTTTTTACAGCGAGGAGTAGTTTGTAAGCAGTGGAAACAGCAGTTCCACTACCGCGGACCCTGTAGCTCATTTTGTCGGTAAATAAGCCGTTGGCGCCGCGCTGCCCTGCCGGAGGACGTGTGCCTCGAGTGGAGTAGAGACGAAGAAAGAGGGCGACAGGAGACTGAATCTGGTGAGTGACCGACCACCACTCTGTGGTGGCTTTTGATTTTAAGTTAGCACCAGCTCAACTGTTAGAGCAGTGAAAAAACGTTATCATTAGCTAAACTGACGTGCTAATGTTAAGACACATTTGGCTAGCACTGTTAGCATTTTAACGGACACACATAGCTTTAGTAGCTAGCTGTGTGTGAGCAGCTCCCGCTCAAACCTACATTTTGAATCTGCTCTTGAACCCTAACCTTCAGTGTTGTGGCCGGTTGAAAAGGTTGCTTAAACAGACATTTGAAGCTACTGTTTTTCAGCATTGGGATTTTTGCGCTTGCTACGGTAACTGGATATTTTTTTGTACTTTTTCACTCTAGATAACTGTCATTAATTGTTAGTAAATCATCTGTAAAATGCTAACTGTATTCATGTGACCAGGCTGTCACATTGCAATGGTATGTGACCCTCTTTACTTCCAGAATAACATTACTTTTTAAGAAGTGAACGTCAAACAAATGCAGCCCGCGAAAATTCAATTTGGTAGACGTTAACCAAATTTACCCCTCCAGGCCGGCTCTCATCCCCAGCCTATCGCTCAGCAGACGCCCCCTTCCAATCATCTGTACCGACTCGCAGCCGCATAAAAACGGAGCAACTCCCACTACCGGCCTCCTGAAGCCTCGCAAAGAATCGTTCTGGAGGAATCGCTTTGTCTACTCACGCTTACTCGTGCGTGTCCCTGCTGTCCTCTGTCTTGCTGCGTGTGGTCTGCTCCTCCTCCGCGTCGCTGCTCCTGCTGCGGGTCTCGTGCTGTGGTCCGTGGGTCTTTGCCGCTCTCCTCCTTTGCGGGCTCTTTCCGCGGGTTTGCCGCTGCTCGTCTCGTCGCGGCCTGCTGCTGCATACGGCCGGTCTAGCCCGGTGCGGTGGGAGCCGTGCGCATCCCTGCCTCCTTGTGCCGGTACGGTGTGGTCCCGTTGTGTTGTCCCTTGTCTTCTGGCGTCGTGGGTAAGTATGCGATCCGCGGACGGTTTATTCCCCTCGCATTGTACTGCAGGCTCAGTTGGCCCCGTGCTGGTGGGCAGGCTTCAGTTTAAAGCCCTCGCATTGGTCTGCAGGCTCTCTTTAACCAAGCTCCGTTAAATCTTCACTCTGACTGCAAGCTCCGTTTAATCCCTCACATTGGACTGCAAGACCTCAGTTTTAATCCCTCACATTTGACCGCATGCTCTCAGTTTTAATCCCTCACTTTGGCCTGCAGGCTCTGTTTAAATCCCTCCCTGGACTACGAGCTCTGTTTAAATCCCTCTCTTGGACTGCAGGCGCTGTTTAAATCCCTCTCGGACTGCGGCTCCCAAAATGAATCCCTTACATTGGTCTGTGAGCTCTCAGGTTAATCCCTCACGGAACTGCTTATATCTGGAAATGCTTATATCTGGAAATGCTTATAGCTGGAAATGCTTATAGCTGGAAATGCTTATAGCTGGAACTACTTCTATCTGGAACTGTTGTACCGTATCTGGAACTGCTTCATATGGAGCTGCTTATATATGGAACCGCTATATTGGAACTGCTCATATGGTACGGTTATACCTGGAACTGTTATGCATTACATGGAACTGCATATATGGTACTGCCTATATCTGGAACGCTATATATTAAAAATAAATAAATAAATGAATAAATAATTACATATAAATAAATATAAATAAATAAATATAAATAAATATAAATAAATATAAATAAATATAAATAAATAAATATAAATAAATATAAATAAATAAATATAAATAAATATAAATAAATATAAATAAATATAAATAAATAAATATAAATAAATAAATATATAAATAAATGAATAAAATAAAAAAATAAAAAATAAATAAAAAAAAGTTTAAACTCCTCACTTGGACTGCGGGCTCAGTTAATCCCTCACTTGGACCGTAAAACCCGTTAAATCACTTGGACCGTAAAAACCTGTTGAAATCCCTCACACTGAACAGCTACAACAACATTCTACTGCCGTGGCTTGATACAGGATCATTGCTGTTATTATCTACGGACGCTGCAGCTGCTGCTGCTGCTACTGCTGCTGCTGCTTCATACGGCTACTACTGCTGCTGCTGCTGCTCCATACTGCTACTGCGCTACTACTGCTGCTTCATTTACTTGCCATCTCTCTTCACTTGCATCTCTTTTACTGAAACACTGATCAGCTACGACAACATTCTACTGCTGTGGCTTGATACAGGATTATTACTGTAATCTCTAAGGATGCTGCTACTGCTGCTGCTGCTGCTGCTGCTGCCGCGGCTTGATACAGGTTATCGCTGTTATTATCTGAGGTACTGCTGCTGCCGCTGCTGCTACCGCTACTGCTGCAACCCACTCTCTCAGAAGCTTATCCTGTTTCTAATGGATGCTGCCCGGCTGAGTATGCCGCGCCGCGCTGGCCTCGTACCTATGCTCCCAGGGTCGCTTCGGCGGTCATGCTTCATCTCTCTACCTAATCTTCTGATTCTATCAGCCGAGTGGCTGCGCTGAGCCGTCAATCGGACTCCTAATCAAAGGCATCCACACCTGTATTCTCCACTCTTCTGATCGCAGGCTCCCCCATCGTGCTGCCCATCCTGCAGCGGCTCTGAGCGGCACTGAACTCTGGCTCGTCTTCCAAGTACATGTCCGCCCTCCTCGCAGCATCTTCCTGCTCGCCTTCTATGGCTTCTCTGCATAAGCGTCTCACCATTGCTCGCTCAACCTTCATGCGGTCCGAGACACGGCTTCCCGACCATCCTACTATCCTGATTATCTACTCTCCGACCCAAGATTCTAAGCGTAAGGGCGCCTGCAACATCAATGGCCCTCTCCGACATGTCTCTGCCCTTACAGGTCTCCGCTCTACACGGACGTGCCCCTTCCGTGGGTTTTGGGGGATTCTTCCAGGACCATTGGGTTGCCGGGCCGTGGCCGCTACTTCCACCGGAGCATCTCTTCTGCCCTACACGAGATATTCCCAGTGGTCGTGGCCTGCGCGCCGCGGAATCACACGTGGCAGAGAAAGAGGATCTCTGTCATGCGTGATCATCTCGACGTAGTGGAAGCATCACACAAAGGTCGCTCTTCTCACCCAACATAATGTCCCCTGACCCTTTCAACCTTCATCTCAAACATTCAAAGACCAAGGCGCCTGCAACATAATAATAGCTCGCTCCGACACATCTCTCTCCAGACAACCTTCCCATGACAGCAACCTGGTTCAGAGCTCAGCTAAGATCCCTACTGCTCCTCTGCAATTTGTCTCCCCAGCTCTATACAGCCCACTCCTTCAGGATAGGCGCTGCCACGCGCGCGACCTCGCTGGGGCTCCCCCACACCTCTCTGCAACAGCTGGGGCGCTGGTCCTCTTCGGCTTTCTCCGCCTACATCAGGCCAGACGCGTCCGCTATCCTGGCTGCACAACGTCTACTGACTTCCTCGTAAGCTCCCAGCAAAGCAATACGAAGCAAAGTAAGTGAAGCAATAAGATTCCGGTGGCGGCACGCACTTTCTCAAACACTCCCCGCTGCCTCAGCGTCTGACGGAACGTGATGCGAGCGCTCACGTTCCCAGCACGCAAAGATAACTCTGCCGCAGCGGCTGGTCGATCGTGATGCAAGCGCTCACGTCCCAGCGCGCAAAAATAACTCCGCTGCAATGTCCGGCGATCACAGCATATAGCGATAGCGGTCACAGCATAGCAAAAAATGGTTAGCGGTCACAGCATATAGCAATAGCGGTCACAGCATAGCAAAAAATGGTTAGCGGTCACAGCATATAGCGATAGCGGTCACAGCATATAGCAAAAAATGGTTAGCGGTCACAGCATATAGCAAAAAATATAAAAATATAGCTGGCGGTCACAGCATAGCGATAGCGGTCACAGCATATAGCGATAGCGGTCACAGCATATAGCGATAGCGGTCACAGCATATAGCGATAGCGGTCACAGCATATAGCGATAGCGGTCACAGCATATAGCGATAGCGGTCACAGCATATAGCGATAGCGGTCACAGCATAGCGATAGCGGTCACAGCATATAGCGATAGCGGTCACAGCATAGCGATAGCGGTCACAGCATAGCGATAGCGGTCACAGTATATAGCGATAGCGGTCACAGAATAGAGTAGTCACGACGTCTGTCCCCTCCAAACCAGGCTTCGAAAACTCCATCAACACGCAGCCTTTTTGGGGATTGTGCGCGCTCATCGCAGGAGCCTTTCCGATCCGAAGGCCGCACCGGGACCTAGGGCGCCAAACCCCCTTTCATAAAATACTCAACTTCCTGTTTCTCGTCTCTCCAAATTGAAATGCAGCCCGCGAAAATTCAATTTGGTAGACGTTAACCAAATTTAACCCCTCCAGGCCGGCTCGCATCCCCAGCCTATCGCTCAGCAGACGCCCCCTTCCAATCATCCGTACCGACTCGCAGCCGCATAAAAACGGAGCAACTCCCACTACCGGCCTCCTGAAGCCTCGCAACCACCGCCTCCCCTCCTCCTCCTCTTCACCCTGCCTCCAATCTGCCTTCAATTTTCTTCCCGCTGCCAAATGCCGCCACCAGTGCCTAGGTCCCGGGGGATTGTGCGCGCTCATCGCAGGAGCCTTTCCGATCCGAAGGCCGCACCGGGACCTAGGGCGCCAAACCCCCTTTCATAAAATACTCAACTTCCTGTTTCTCGTCTCTCCAAATTGAAATGGCATTATACAGTTTTATCACTATCCAGAATTAAGAGTCTCAAAATACAGATAGATTGTAAAGGCAAATCTAACATTACTTCCCCATCTCTTATGTTGTTTTTTCTTTTTTATTGTGTTGCAGGTCTCCAGAAGACATTGTGCCTTTGTCTTCGGGGACTGCCAGTCGTCTTGGGGGATGACCCCTCTGCGTTCTTCAAAACCTGCTCGGTAAGTAACTGAATTAGTTTTGAATATCTGCATTATTGATTCACAACATAACCATCTGATATGAATTTACTGTAAAAAATAAATTACTACTACTTACTCTAAATTACAAACAAATTAACATTGTCCAAAATTTGAACTTTCACCTTTGTCTTTCTGTGAAATTGCCATCAGCTAGTGTGAGATGGGGCCACAGGGAGGGACCCCTCTGTTTATTTTGCTGAGGACTATAAAAAACCCTTACATAAGTTCTTACTTTTTGAGATTAAAGGACAAAACTGGTCTTAAATTTGTAACTGCAACAATGGGCTCTATCCATAGCTCCACTACTTTCTGAACATAATGCTGCTCCTTTGTTTCCTGTCTTTACATTATTGGACAAACTGATAATAATCCAGGTGTGTCTGAGTAGTCACAATGGTCAGACACCTGGATTAATCAGTTTGTCCAATAATGTAAGACAGGAAACAAAGGAGCAGCATTAAGTTCAGGAAGTAGTGGATCTGTGCATAGAACCCATTGCATCTGTACTGGAAATTGTTTTTACACAACTTTTCAGCTTGACTGGGACTGACAAAGCTCTCCATCTCTGCTGAGCTACAAAACCATTTCAGCACACAGGTTTTCAAACAGCTCTTGTAATGCACAGTTCAAATTATGGCGATTTAAAATTGGTGTTGTCCTCTCTCAATTTTTGTGGTCAACACAGCATTATTGACATTACAATGTCGTCTCTTTGTCCGTTTCTTTTTCTGTTAGGATGCAACTGACAAGGACTTGTACAGTGAAACTTCAGTGGGAATCCTCTGCATTGACGAACATCCTCAACTCAACCCATCCAGAGTGAGCATCGTCTTGGAAGGGAGTGTGGTAATGGAGGAGCTGGCCAACCTGCCACAGGCTTTCTGTGTCCTTTTTGGACAAATTTATGCCTTGCACTTGGACTACCCCAAGTGCATGAAAAGCACCTTCCACTTTATTCAACAGGTCATGCTAAACCTGGGCAGAGTTGAGCTGAAACCCAAAATTCAATCTTTGAAGAATCAGCTATCTGTATAAAACAGGGTTCTGAATACGTATACCACTGCTCTGGAACTCAGTGCTTGGTTATTTGTAATGTTGCACTTTAAAAATACCATGTTTACTGTTGGCACTGTTTGATATGCAAGTTTTTTCATGCATTGCCACTGATTTTGGCATTTTCTTCAATGCTGATTGGTGTATAACTTGGGTTATTAGCGCTGATATAGTTTAATTCCTATTGCTACCTATGTTGTATAGCATTGACATTGATTTTGTAGTAGTTAATGCCATCCTGATTCATTCAAGAGTCCTATTTGATTTTTTGATTGCAAACCTATTTTGTTTGATAACATGATAAAGACAAGTTTAATAAAACATGTAGACAAGAATGTACTTTTGTGATTTTGCTTTTTATTTTCTTAATTAATTTAATCTGTATGGGTTTCTTTTATTAAACAGATTTTATTTTACTCTTCAGATAGTGAAGTAATTGGGCAAAGGAATTTTTAAGGTAAATCAACTTGGAGGTTAGTGTATTCAGCTTAAAGTTATAAGTGGAATAAATATGTAAAGCAATTGATATTAGTAATGTTTTTAAGTTTAATCATCTTGGAGGTTAGTGCACTTGACTTAAAGTTTTCAGTGGAATAAAGGGGCAAAGTAATTAATATTACTAATGGTGTTGAGTGTATTGAACTCAAAATAAAGATGCCATCCACTCATCTTTTTAAGTTAAATTCACTCAAGTTTTCATCAAACATTACTTATTTTTTTTAGGGTAACCAGTTTCCTAAATTTTTTTAAGTAAACTCAACTTATCCGGGTTTACAGTGCTGTCTGCTGTGAAATGCAGTGCAGTTGTTTTGAGAAAAGACCTCCGCAGGTGGTTTTTCCAATCAGCTCAAGTCCTGAGAGATGCGTCCCCATGTCACTCATGCTACATAAAAGCTTCACAAAAGGAGCGACAGGTGACAACTGAGGCTCATAGGCTTACGACAACAACAAAACAAAACCTATGGCCAATCAGCTCAGAGGAAAATGTCACAGCATCTCATCCATCTGAGAGTAACAGCTGGAACTGCACCAGATCCATTTACATGCAGCGCTTCTTCCAGCCGTTAAACCAACACTAATTCAATCTCTCACCATACTGTGCTGATTGAATCAATGACTCCGCGATAGAAAATAATACAATCAGATGTGTGTGTTAATGTGTGAACGGGGGGCTTCTCAAGGCTTGCCTCAGGTGTCACTGCAGACACAAACACCTCTTGGAGAAAGCTCTGCCAACGCTGCTTCTACTGCTACTACTAACAAAAAACATCCACGTTTATAACTGATTCTGTATCTTGGTAATGCTAAAATGGTAATAGTGAAACTAGACACACATGCTTTTCTCTGCTTATATAATGATGTATATATAGATACAGATATATAGATATAGATCGATAGATACAGGGCTCATTTAATCCAGTGGACATGACCGGATTGTCCTCTCTCTCATGCCCCGTTGCTCTCGCTATTCCCCTCCAAACACACTCACAAACACACAAAGAAGTACACAGCATTCACAAAAATCCCTTATGTACCTACAATGATGCAGAGCTGGGGTCTCCTGTAATCCCCGCCTTTTTTCTTTTGTCTACAGTAATTGTGCTGGAGCTCAGAGACATGTGGAAAATGGATTATGTCTTCATGGATGAGGCGATTATTTGGGTGTTTGGCGAATGTTAATTAAAAGTTATAGCGTCCTTTAGTTCTCCTAAATTAGCGAAAGGAAATCATCCTGCAGAGACAAGGTCAGTATTTTATCTCTGAGCTGGATGCATGTGTTGTGTCCCTATATCAAATAAGCAGACATACATGTAGTCTTGTTTGGAGAAGTTGGAGAGATTTCTGTTCGGTTCTCTTTCACCTGATGCACAACGACCTCCAAATAAACATCAGTAACCTCAGTATACTTGGTGTAAAAAGAAAAAACATGTTTGAGTTTATTGCTGTGCTTATTTCTTCTTTAAACGTCTGACTTTGAAAAAGGTGCTATAAATAATTCAGAAGAAATGTCTCTCTCAATATTGTGGCATTGAGATAATCTGTGCAGAAAGAAATGGTTTTATATAATTTCCTCTTTATCCTGTATATTAGTAGTTCTTTCCACCACAAGTTAACATTAAGAGTTCTTGTTCCTTTCCTTCGCTTCATACAGGACTAAGAGTTGCTCAAGTCAAAGCACTATTCCCATATTTCCCCGACCTGTCTCTCAGAAATTACACCCTCCATCATCAGCAGGCTATATGGGTCAACCACAACAATAACCGCAAGCCTGTCCTCGGCTGCCCTGACTATAGACCCATAAAGTTTCCAATGAGGTCCCCACAAACTAAAGTCATATCTTCATGTTCATCATTTTGAATGTAAATTGTGTCTTATGGTCCTTCGACTTTTACCCATTGACTTAAAGGTGCCATATCACGCTTTTTGACTTTTAAACATGATTACAGTAATATTTGGCCTTCATACACATGCCCAGAGTAGTTTTTTTCATTGTTCTAGCTTTATTTAGAGAGTGATCTTTCTCTTTCCCTCTCGAGAGGTTCAGAAACGGCTGATGACGTCAAAAGCCCGCCTCCAAGAGGTGATTGACGGCAGGGAGAAGCTGAAACAGCAAATCAGCACAGCACATGCAGCCTCTCTTTGAGTCTGACAATGTGTGCTCCAAATGTGTTTTTGGTCTAAATATGTGATGATAGTATAAGGCACGAAGACAGAGAATGAGGCGAATGGGGATCGAAACAAAAGATTGCTACGAAACTCAAAGATTTTTTTCTGCTTTTGACACTTTGCCAAAGACTGTTCCGGAACTACGGTTACCTTGAAATGGGACCTACTCAAAAGTTGATCTGGAAACATGGTGTTATTCCCAACTTAAAAGACACTAACAGGAGCCTCAGTCTGTGAGTACAGTGTGACTAACTCAGCGTATGTCACTGTGAACTAAATAATGAGGGTCCGATTCTGGATCGAAGACGTTGTTGAAAAAGTTTATTATTAGGTCTTAAATTTCTCTGCAACAGCGAAAGTTGTACAGTTGGCTTTTCTTTACCTCAAACTTTCACATGAGGTGACATCACCTCTATGTACAAAATACCTATAATTTAACAAGTTTTGAGAGTTGTCTGGTGTATAACCCACATTATTATCACACATGTGCTCGGGATGGACTGTGGAAAAATTAAGAAAAAAGCAAAATATGGCACCTTTAATTTGTGCTTGTCTTCGGGATTAAACCAATGGCATAAAGTTCACGATGTGAAACTTTGCTTGACATTTTATACTCTTGACCTAGTTCTTGACAAGGCAAAGTTTATGACACCTTTCTTTAGCTAGGTCTCCAGTCTCCAGTCTCCAGTTGATATAGGTTTAATATATACCTGGAAGGCTAGTCTATGATGCACTATGGTATAACAGCTGTGTGCTCTCTCCTGCGGACAGACACTTTGGAGTAGTGGGGAATCCCTGTCTGATCCTATCCCCTTCTACGTCAAACAGGTCCAAAGACTTGTCAGTTCAAATCTTCCAATGGACCTTCAAACAGAGGGTTGTAACAGGTCCCTACCCTTGAGCCCGCCTGTGCTCAGTCCAAAGAGACTAATTGCGTAAATATATACTGTTTTAAAAAGAAGAAGAAGACCATGCTCGTGAGTCCTGGGCTCTGATCGGCCAGTTGATTCCACCGGTAGCAATTCCTGGGTGCTGATTGGGCAGAAGCAGAGGCAGTCCTCCAATCGTGCGTGTTCACCTGCGGACCCGCCCTATACAACCTGCCAATCTTCCGTGGCTCAGGGAACTCCAGTTTGCAGATTAATTTGTCTCTGTGTTTTGTCTTTTGTGGCGTTATTTAAGTGACTTATTTTTGTAATTTTGTTGAGACACTTTAGTTTAGCTCAAACCTTTGGTTCTTTCAATTGCTACTAATTTTATAGGTTATTTATTTACTCTGTGTGTTTTGTAAATATTGAAATCTATTTTGTCTGAATAAATAATGATTTTAGTTACCATTTCTATGTTTTCATTATTTCCTTTACACCAATAAGTTGAGTCAGGTTGTAACATATGTCATGCTGTTAAATATAAGTATAATGACAACTCCACATGCAAAGTGTTCCTCAGACACGTTTGTGCTGAGAGTGTTTGTTTACCCACTCTCAGCAGTGGTCACTGTGAGGTCAGCGTCCACCTGGTGGGACAGAAAGGACACGAGCTGCAGGGGCTTCTCACACGCTCAAACCACCTCAGGGAACGCTCGGCTCCAGCTGCTGACCTCACGCAAACCTTTAAAAAAAACCTTTAGTCTCAATAAGGTGTGGAAATGTCAAGATAAATTGTTTACAATTATGAACTAGAATAGAATATAAAGTTATATTACATTTACTGACCAAAATAAACAATAAATCAAAAATAGTGTAGCCTCTAAAGCCTATTAACTGCATTTATTTATATGAACAATGCCACAATGTATTACATATCAATAATCAAATATTTACTTCACGTATGTTGTATCCTTTTTGTTTTTTGTTGAACCTCTGCACAAGTCTTGAAATAAGTATAATTGAAAGTAATATGTTTTGTATAAAAATGCTTCATGGACTGTGGCTTATACACTTCTCTAGAGCCTCACTGATTTGTATATTCTGCACATTATTCAAAGGTTAGATTTTGCTAATTAAGACGTAGGTCTAATCCGTGGATGGGGTCACTTTCATTTGACTTGTGAACGTTGACCCCGTGTGATGGCCCTCTTCGGGGCCTGAGCGCAGCAGGTTGATGATGAATTATGGGACAGTTCTCTCATTTCTGTGTTCACAGCTCACTGCTCCAGTGGACTTTAGCACCGACCTCCATCTCTGCCTCAGGACACAGCCCAGTGTCAGGAGCCTCATTCACACGATTCATGGGACCAGTATGCTCGCATGGGAAATAGTTAAGACTTACATCAAGAAGAAACATACTCCGATTATTGTGCTCACATTGTTTCA